GTATGTGGCATGCTGTCTTCTCCTTTAAGATAAGGGCAGGGACTTTTTTTTTTGCCTTTTTTTGTATCCCCAGCATTTAGCACAGTGCCTGGCACAAAATAACTGCTTATTAAATTCTTCCTCACTGACTGACTTATCTGAGCCCATAATCAAGAACAACAATTTAAAACATTCATGAAGCCCGTTAGATTCCTCAGATCATCCTCTCCAATTCTCCCTCCCTCAAAAGATACTGAGATTTTTTTTAAGGAATACCCCTACGTACATTGCCTGTATTACCTAAGCACTCAGAGAAAAAGCAAAGTACTATTAAGGAAGGTTGGTAAAATCTCAACCTCCAGCTTCAGAAAAGGACTTTTCCTTTCCAAATTACCCAAAGTTAAGAGGCTAATGTTTAATCAAATACATACATAATAGAGCTCTGGCTTTGGAGTCAGGAAGACCTGAGTTCAAATCCAGCCTCAGACACTTGACACTTACTAGCTGTGTGACCCTGGGCAAGTCACTTAATCCCAATTGCCTCACCAAAAAGCAAAAAAACAAAAACAAAAACAAAATATACATACACACAGAAGTAGTTCCTGGTCTGTGAGAACAATAAATCCTAAAAGAATGTCATGTTATTTGAATTCTCACTCCTTTGGGATTGAAACCAACTATTTCAAATTCAAATACATGTGACCACTTCTTAAGATTCATTATTTGTATTAATTGGGATTAATTATTCACACTAATCGACACCTAGCAATGGGTTGCTTTATCTATCTCTCTATCTCCTCTGAAGCAAAATTGAACTGCTTTAGTAATTCTTAGATGTTTTTCATTCTTATGTAGATGTCTGCTTCTTTCAAATTGACCAAAATATTATAGCACTTTTATTTTAATGTCAATAATAAAGTGTTATTGGAACATAGCCATGCTAATTTGTTTATGGATTATCTTTTTAAATTGTTTTATTTTATTTTCAGTTCTGAATTCCTCCTTCTCCCTCACGCATTGAGAAAGCAAAAAAATATTTTTCACAAAATATATTTGGAATCATCAGAGCTATGATTACATATGTTTGAGTATATATACAATTTATATATATATGTGTATATATGTTTGAGTATATATACAATTTGTATAAATATGTGTACACATGTATGTATTATATGTAGTTGAACAAATTCCTATATTAGCTTTGACATATATATGTATAGATGTATATGTGTGTATATGCTTCAGTCTACATTCAGAGCCTTTCACCCCTGTATCTGGTGGTAGATAGAATGTTTCATCATGAGTTCTTTTGAACTGTGGTTAGTTGCATTGTATTGATCAGACTTCCTACATTTATCAAAGTTGTTTGTCTTTACAGTATTATTGTTACTATATAATTTTTTTCTCCTGGTTTTTCTCACTTTATTTTTACATAATTTCATACAAGTTTTCCTAGGATTTTCTAAAACCATCCTCATCATCACAAAATATTTTAGTATTAATAACGAAAAAGTAATGTTGCTCCTAAGGTGAAAGCAAACTAGAAAAATAACCACCGAATGATGCATGTCCATTCATTTTCATTATATATGGGAATCTTTGGGGCTTTCATCTCCTTTTTTTTTGTTAAGAAGTAAAATCTTAGTAGAAAAAAGAACCATAAAAAAACTCATTTAATGTGGCTTTTCAAATTTCATATGAAACAATAAGAAATTTATTTGTCTAAACTTTCTGCAAATGCTTTAGAAAAATTGGTTGTGTGTATTGCTGAACTGTTAGTGTTTATTTTGAATCATCACAGCTAGAAACTCTAGTTTTCTTTATAAATTACATTTTCACATAGCTCAGAGCAGAAATGGTAACCTTAGGATTGTACTGTCTTAGAAAATATTATTTGACATGTATCAATATGACCTTATCATTTCATAGGAAAATGTGGGCAATATTTTTAAAAGAAGTTATGGATCAATTTTTAGTTTTCTTGAGTGATATTTAACAACTTGGATATTTTTGCAAATTAAACTCAGAACAAGAACATTAACCATAATATTTAACTCTCTTGAAGTATTAATTGACATACAATGTTTGCATGTGCCAAAACTATGACCTTATTTTTTTCATATGAAGATGTGGGTAATGCTTATAAAAGTTCAGGGTCAGTTCATAGGTATGTGTATGTATATGTATCTATGTTTATACTTACACACAAAAGAAGAGACCTACATAATTCAGTCCAGTTCATCAATATTTATTAAGCTTGATGAATTCATATTATCTAGAATTGTCTGCTTTAGGAAAAAAAATAATTGTGTATATTACAGAATTTGTAGTGCTTCTTTTGAATCCTGTAACTGAAACCTGTACTTATCTTCTTAACAATTAGGCTTTTTTTTTTTCACAGATTAAGCTCAGAACATGAACATTAACCATAGGATTGTATGCTATTAGAAAGTTATTTTTATTGTTTGCGTGTATCAAAAGTATGATGTTACTTTTTTCCAGGAAATATGGATAATACTTTAAAATGAAGTTGAATCAATTTTAATTTTTTTATGGTGTACATATACAAAAATCTACATAATTCAGTCTTGTTCAACAATATTTATTAAGCATTATCAGTTCATATGCAAATCAAAAGTTTATTTAAATAATGGAAAAATGTTGCTTTTTATAGTCCTCACAAATCTTAAGTCATCTTAAAGTTAACATAGAAACAAAAATGTATACATATGTCTTCTTTAAAATGTGGTATTTTCTTCAAGATTCAGAACATCAAGACTGACCTTACATTAACATCTTATGTTGTTAATGTCTACTTAACACATGGTGAAATGCCCATTCCCTACTCAAATTAGGAGGATGTGCTTGCATTAACATTCTAAACCTAATGGTTTGTTTATTTAACTCCTGGCTTTTGCCTTAATTAGAGGCTATTGCCAAGTCAAAGGACTGTTTTTGAATGTTCTAAAATGGCATTTTGCCACTTCACCAGTTTCATTCATTTTATTCATTATATTTCTCCTGTGTGCATTGCAGTCCCTATTGTAGAGTCAGAAACCATATCACTAAGTTGAGAAAAGGAAAATCAGCATAGGTAAATGTTTAATTTGGATGATTTTTAGCTAATTAGATGGAGATTGTATAAAACAAAGTTATATAAAACTTCTTAAAGATCAAATAAATGAATTATAATGAGACATTCAAATAGCTAAGAATTCTAAAACTATAAAATTCATCTTCAGAAATCCAGGCTGTTCTATATACTTTCTGAAAATTTTTGACATTAAAGATCATAGATATATAGCATTTAATATTATAATAGAATTGAGATCATTAGATTAAACCCTTTTATTTTATAAATAGAGGAACAGAGACACAAGAAAATTAAGTGACTTGGCAAAAGTAATGGGTAGTATCAAGTCTGTTTAGTTTTCAGTCTACTAACCTTTTTTTTTTATTTCTGCCTATAAGAAACTAGATAGAAACTCAATTCAAAGTCTATTGTATTTTGATGCTTCAAATTATGGTTTGCTTTGAGCTATTTGTCATGCTTTGTTATTGATTTCCCTACATATTCCAGCTCTAAATCTCTGATCACGTAAATATGAATATGAGTGATATTATCATATGCAATAGAACAGTATATCTTTCATGTATTATATAGTATATTTTGAAACTTTTATAATAGCAATCCAAAGCTAAACAGAAAAATTTTCAGATATAAACCACAAATAAAGCATTGAAAAATGAAAGAAAATATTTGTTACTTTGCCTTTTTCTAATTGTCAGATATATCTTTATTTCTAGAACCTTGTTCTTTTCCCCTCAATGTCACTCATCCTCTCTTTAATTGGTTTTAATATTTTCCCTAGAGTGTTCAACCAAAAAAAAATATTTATTTGACTTTGGGGGAAATATTGTTAATTTATTATGTAAATTTGGGAAATTTTTTGTCTTTTCTGAGGAAAGCTGTTCATTTTCATGAACCCAATAGATTTCATATGATATAAACATGAGATTGGGTGCTACTCTTAACTCTACTAGATGTATTGTTTCTCATTTTCCTCTGAAAATGATAGATACATAGAGATAATGGCTGCCATACATACTTCACACAATTTTGATGAACAAATGTGTTATGAAGATCTGAACATCTAATCCAATTTAATTCAATATAAAACATATATTATGAGTCTGAGTTATACAAATATAGCTCTGTACCCTTATATACCTCTATATCATTGGTATACAAAACACATATGAGTCTTACATATATTTTTAAGCTTTTGGAGTTGTGTTCAAAATTTTGGTTTCATGGGAATTGATGTGAAAAATTTTACAGATCATCAAATGTTGGGGTATTTTTAGAGTCCTAGACATTTTTCCTGGGTCACTGAGATGTTAAGTAACTTGCTTGTTGTCAGATAGCTAGCATGTATTGGAGGTAGGGCTTGAATATGGGTCTTCCAGTTTCCAAGGCTGGCCCTCAGTCCACCATGTTTGCCTGACTGTAAGCTCCTTGAGGGCAAGGACTATTTTAGCTTTTGGTTTTGTATTCCCAAACTAGGAGAGTGCTTAACATAAAACAGACATTAAATGCTTATTGATTATTTGATATGCTGTATCCCGCTCTTATTCTCAAAGTTCTTTCTTATTCTTACTCTTCTCAAAATTCTTAGGTGAATGAGCTTATCAATTTTAATAGATGACCTAGTTTTTTTGCACTTATACAGTTAGCCCTTTAGCTTTGAATTAAAATTGAATATGACTTTGGAAATCACATTCCAATAACACCTATAAAGACCTTGTGAGGTTCTAAAAAGATATATAATTATATTGGACAGATTATTTAAGGATGATAGAATAGAGCTTCCTTTAGCCTCCCTGTTTTAGCATGTAAAACATCTCTGATAGATCTGTTATTGCTACAGTTCTCAGACCCTCTTCAGTAAAACATTTACTGAAATGTTTATCTTTTGGCCTGCCTTTGACTTCCATGATGTCTTTGTCTTTTGCAGTGACCAAGACTGTATGTGCAGAACAGTGTGATGGCAGGTGCTATGGCCCGTATGTAAGTGATTGTTGCCATCGAGAATGTGCTGGAGGCTGCTCAGGACCTAAAGACACAGACTGCTTTGTATGTTGAGGAGTTCTGCCTCCCCTTCCCCTTCCTTCCCCTCTCCTTCTTATTTGGCACATTAACACTGAAGCTCAAACATCTGAAAATCAAATGAAAGAAACCTAATTTGATCAAGATCAGCAAAATCTTATCCATGTCAATATTGGAAAGAAAGATACCATTCCTTCAGTGTGGAGTTATCAGTTAGTGTCTCTGTTATTTACTTTGGATTGTTGTATGCTGTTCATTTAACTGAGCTTTTGTGTATTGTATAATATACTATTAAAATATGGTCTTCTTATAGAAGACAGGCTTAAAGGACATTCTAATTAGTCACTTGGAAGAGGGAAGGGCTAGTAATATCCTTTCCTTTGCAGTGTTTCCAGCCTCAATGAATCTTATCCTAAGTTTTTAACAAATGATTTCATTCAAGGTTGTTTTATCTTTGAGCTTGAATCCCCATGTCTTCCATGTGACTGTGTTATTAAACTATTTTCCCAGAATATATTTCAAAATATTAATAGATATTTTTATGAACTTATCTGTTTTTCTTGTCAGTTTGTATGGCTTATCAGCTTAAATTACCTATTGAAACATTTATGGGATTTACAAATACAGATTTGGAGTCATTTATATGCTAATATGTATGATTTTTATCTTAAATGGAGACACTTTTACTCCCCTAAAATTGACTTTTATAGCTTGTTGGAACTCTCTTAAATTATACTTTAATATTTTCAATATTGTTCTTTGTGTTCCCTCTGATCTTGAGAACATTTTGTAAACTGTAGTTAAACCTAGCTCTCCATATTTTCCCAATTTTTCCAATTTGTTTAAAATTAAAATCATATACATAATGTAAACTTTCAAAAAGAGCAATTTCTTAATTTCATTTGTTCCTTCAAAAACATAGTTAGAAGAGCACATCATTTTAAGCTATTTAGTAAAAAGGTTCAATTCCCTGCAAACCGTATTCTAAAATTAAGACAATTAGTTTTTCAGACAGTAGGCAGGTTTATAGTCCACAGTAAGTTTGTAATGACGAAAAAAAATACAGTGGTAGGGTGTTGAATAAGGAGGAAGGAGCCAAAATGTAGATATGCTTAGGAAGTTGTTTCAGCAGATTTTGGTTTGTCTGTGAATTGGAACCAGGGCAAGCATTACCTAAGACTACTTCATTACAAAATTTGCATCTGTGATTTTTTTCCCCCAGGGTCACTGATCACTATAGATTTATGACTTTATAATAATTAAGTAACATCCATACTAGAAGCTCATTTCATACTTTGGTGTTGACTCACTGAATGAATGTATAGCTAATTGGACCCTGATCTTCACTACTCATTTCTCTATTGTTTTGCAGTGATCTAGGGTTCTACTTTGGCCTATGGCATGGGAGATTTTAAAAATGTAATAGCAAAACTTTGGTGGGTGAACAATACTTAGAAACTTTAATTATTTTTTTTTCCTCTAGGCTACTTTGCTCTGTTCCCAGGCAAATAGTGTGTAATATTATATAATATATGCCAGTGTAGCAATTATAAGGCCATAGAGAGCTTTGTAGTTATAAATTAAAACTTACTGAGTTTTCTAGATTGGTTTTTAATAGATTCTTCCTGGAAAGTGTCATCTTAGGGAGAAATATACCATCCATATGCTTAGACTATCATGAGGGAATTGTCATGTTTGTGATAAAGTGCTTGCTTAAACTACAGTGGATATGGCAAATGTGTTGAGGAAACACAGCAAATTAATGCTTATTAATAAACACACTAACAGTTCATGATCCAATGAAAACTTTGCTTGGTTCACAACATTTGCTTTGCAAAAGCTAAAATATCTCACTGTGAAAACTTTTTGTAAAATGTGAGAAAAGTCATTTATCCATCTTTTTTTTCTCACCACAATGTAGTGTATATTCACTTCTGAAGCAAGTTCCACAATTCTCTGATGATTAATTTTTTTTGGTATATCAAGAATTTTTTTTAATAATTTCAAGACCAGGGTGAAAGTTTCAATCTGGACCATATTATAATTTGGAAAAGGGAACTATTTTGGGGGGGGGGGGCTTTGAATAAAATATAGCATTATGAGAAGACAAGAGACAATTATATTTTGTGATTTAATCACTAGTTTTCCATAGTTAGCTTTTTTCGTAGTTATCATAGCTGTAGTCTAAAATACTCACTTGCCAAGGTGGTTTCCTTAAACAGTGGTGAGTGAGAGGCAGCTCAGTGGTGCAGTGGATAGAGTACTGACCCTGGAGTCAGGAGGATCTGAGTTCAAATGTAGCCTCAGACACATAACATTTACTAGCTGTGTGACTCTGGGCAAGTCACTTAACCCCAATTGCCTTGCCCCCCCAAAAAAATCAGTGGTGGGTGGTAGCCAGGCTTAAATGAAAACAAAAGGTCCAAATATCCTGCTATTCACCCCTGAAACGTGGCAAATGACATTAGTTAACCTGACGCTGCGGATAATGTTCTCTTTCCCTATTCAAAAGAAATCGTGCTTCTTTGATGGCAGGATTAGGATCTTGGCTGTCAACTGGCATTTGGCCTAATACCAGGAGAGACCATAAAGCCAGGCAAGACCAGAAGGTCAGAACCTCAAAGCACAGATCATTTGTGCATTAGCAATGTGGGTGGTTTAAATAGTTGTTTTGTTGCTAGCTGATTTTAAGCACGCTATCAAGCCTGAAATGAGTCAACAGATTAAAAACAAATACAAAAAAAAAAAACTTCATTCTAGCATTGCTGTATTTAGAACATTTGTTTATAGACATTAGGGAAATAATCACCTAAAAACATGTTGAATTCAAGAGATTAACTGTTTGTTTTTAAATTTTCAATAGAAAAAGTTTGGGAAGTAGGTACAGAGGGGAACATGACATCCTAACCAAGAATAAACTCAGTGCCAGCAGGATTCCATTAGCATCATTATGAAAATATCTTCAGAAAGCCAAGACATGTTCTAAGCTATTTAAATTCTGTTGCAGGCCTGCATGAATTTCAATGACAGTGGAGCATGTGTCACCCAATGCCCCCAAACATTCGTCTACAATCCAACCACCTTTCAACTAGAGCACAATTTCAATGCAAAGTATACCTATGGAGCCTTCTGTGTCAAGAAATGCCCACGTAAGTAACTGAAATTCCAGGGGTCTTGGGGTAGAACTACCTGACTTAATGTGGGTCCTGACTCTAATGAACTCACAAACACACATATATATTATAATTTATTTATGATTCTGATAGTAGGGCTTTTGATGAACTACATGCCATTCACAAGGTCAAATCTGCATTTAAGCAATAATAACTAACAGAAATAAAAATAGGAAAGTTATGAGGCCCTTTACTAAGTTGATAATTTTCTTAAAGGATCCAAAAATAAATTGGTCAGTTCTTGTGAGAAATACAGTATCATAAAATTCCTCAGTCTTTGCTGGAGTTTGCTTTCTTCATTTTGATGACATGACAACTCTTTTAGTACTAGGGGGCATAGTGTTTTTACATGTTGGGGGACAAGCTCTTGGAAAATCTGGAGCAGTGTTGTGTCTCCCTTGAAAAAATCATGAACCAGTTTTTAACTTTTTTCACCTTTCTCCTATTTTTGAAAAAAAAAAGTTTTTATTGACACTTTTTGATCTTTATTGTGGTTGTTCATTTCCGATACGTCCTCCTCCCTTATTGAACCCACCCATGTAACAACAAAAGGATGTTAAGCAAAACATACACAAAATAACATTGTCTGACAGCCTGTGTAACATTCTGAGCATATAATCCTCCCTTCTCTACTGAGGAATGTATTTTGTCTTTCGCTCTCTAGGAACATGATTACATATTACAGTTAATCTGAGTTTGGCTATGTTTAGCTTTATTTTCATTTGCATTATTATAGTCACTGCCCATATTGTTCCCTTGGTTCTAATTATTTGTGTTAGTCTAAATATTTTCCATGTTTCTATGCATTCCTCTTATTCCTTGTTTTTCGGGATACAATGGTATTTTGTTATAGTCATATACTTCTTATTGTCATTCAATTAAGACATTCTTTTCTTTTGCTCTCTCTCTCTCTCTCTTTCTCTCTCTCTCTCTGTGTGAGTGTGTGTGTCTGTCTGTCTGTCTGTCTCTCCTGTCTCTCCCTGTCTCCTCTGTCTCCAAAAAGTACTGTGGTGCATATTTTGGTATATATCTTCGCAAGATCTTTGCAAGTTCAAGTTTATTGTAGAGTTTCCCATTTAGAAAACAGAGATTTCATACCTACAGCTGTTTGTAGCTGCAGAACTGTGTAAAATGTCATATTCCTTGTTTCTCCCTCATTTGGGAATTTTGCATCTCAGGAATTCTTGGGAATAGCCTCTATAAAGGATGGTTTCCCCCAATTCATGCCGTATGTCATTATGTGGATTTTTATGCTTTAAAAACTAAGGCTGGGATTGTGTGTATGTATTGGGGGAAGTTTCATGTGACAAATAATTTTTAATTATGGTTCACATCTCATTTGAATTACAATTTTAAAGGCATTTTTGTATCTGAGGACCTTGATCTTGCATACTTTAAAATATGAACTAATTAAATTTGATTAAATTTAAAAGCAAATATTTTGCATCCTTTGCACTTTTAAATAACATGACAAAGATTTATGCAAACTGATGCATAATGAACTAAGCAGAAGTAGAACAATAAATAAAATTAACAATGCAAAATAAAACAAACATAAATAAAAAGAATGGTAAGAGGAACCTGACTTCTGAGTCAATAGAACAAAACAAAACAAAACAAAACAATAATAACCTCTGAGAATAAATATTGACCATTCCCTCCACATCTCAGTGGAAAGGGATGGTACTTTAAGAATAGTATCAGGTGAGCTCATTGAGGCAGGTTGTTATTGTTTGTAGTTGTTAGAAAGGAAAATTCAATGCCAGGCTAAGGGAGGTTTGGAAAGTTTTCCAGAAATTCCAGCAATTAAAAAAAAATTACATAAAATGTTATTTTATAAATAGCCAGCCACAGAGAGAGAGAGTGAGAGAGACAGAGACAGAGAAACAGAGAGACAGACACAGAGAGACAGAGAGACAGAGACAGAGAGACAAAGACAGAGAGACAAAGACAGAGAGACATTGACAGAGAATTAGTGAATGAGAATCCACCACTGAAAGGGAAAAAAAAAGAATCAGGAAAATGGTCACATTTCCTTCTGCTACAGAAGTGATAAAGGGTAAGGCAAGGAGAGATGTGAAGTTGAGAGAAAATATGAAAGAATTTTATCATCTTCATGTTTCATGAACTTCAGGCTGAGCTTAAAAGCACACTGCTACAGCATAGACCATAACATTATGAGGAGTTTTTCACTAAAGCTAAATAATGAAAATTCCAAGAGTTACAGTAAAGGAAGTCCAAAACTCAGAAGGCTCAACACTATTCAACTCAACAATCATTTATTAAATATCTACTGTGTGATGTTAGGGATGCAGTAATAGAAACAATATTGTCCCTGTTTTCAAGGAGCTTCTTTCTAATAGGATCCTCACAGCCTGGAATATCCCTTTTTCTACAAAATGGCTATCATAGAAGCTATCTTTACACAGGAGCTGGGATACCGACAGACTATTTCTGAGCATAATACAGTATAATTTATGAATGCCCCAAATTCTCACTTATTTCTTATTATATAATGCCACAAATCATCCTTATTAAATTAGCTTAGTTATAACAATGACAGAATATTTTACATTTTGTTAACAGCTACATTTAGGGTCCATTTGGTCCCTATTCATCTGGTAGTATAAGTTTCCAGAAGGGAAAACTATCCAGGGGAAACCTGGCTTTAAATAATACTTACATTATTTAATAAGATATTTTATTAAATTTTCCCAAGTCACTGTCTTTTGAAATTTCATACAAGTGTATTCATATGCTCAGGCAGAGAAAATTCTTATGACTAAATTTCCTACCATAGTATTCCTTTCAATGTAGCCCAAACTTTAAATACTTCCTCTTGAGTCGGAGTATAAAATATTTTCTCTTGATCCAAAGCAGTTTAATTTAAGCTTCATTTGTGTTTCAAAATAACTTCAAGCACTTCTCGATTTCAAACTTGCATCACTACATGAAATGAAGTGGAACTACAGGGAAACACAGACTAAATGTCATGTAGTTTATTAAGCCTGTAAAAGAAATTTACATTGTCCTGAGGGCTTTTAGGATATGTGGGATCAGAAAAAAAAGTTAAACAAAAACAACACAGCAACCATTCCTACATCCTAATCTTAGACCAGGATACAAGACAATGCATCTCTCTCTCTCTCTCTCCCTTCCTCTCTCTCTCTCTCTCTCTCTGTTTCTTCATTATCATCATATCTTTAGTGCATCAAGATTTATAAAGCACTTTGCAAATATTTATTTTATTCACACAACTCTTGGAATTAAGTGCTATCATAATTACTATTTTTAAGTGAGTAGTTTGAGGCTGGAGGATCTCAAGTGACTTGCATAGGCTCACTCAGATTAGTAAATATGTGAGACCAGATTTGAACTCAGATCTTTCTGGCTTCAGGTAGAGTGGTTGATCAACTGCACCACTCAGTTAACTACTAAGTTCATAGATGGAAAAGTACCAAGCTATTATAAGGGAAAAGTCATACACATTATTGGCTTACATGGCCACTTCCAAATATCAGAAAACTTTTTTCCACCAAACTTCCAACCAAACATTACTACTGAACATTTTACTTTTTCCTTGCAGATAACTTTGTGGTAGATTCCAGTTCTTGTGTGCGGGCTTGTCCTAGTTCCAAAATGGAGGTTGAAGAAAATGGGATTAAAATGTGTAAACCTTGTACTGACATTTGTCCCAAAGGTAGGTTATAGCTGTGATATATCTAGAAAGAGTCTGGGGATGACATTAAGGTTGCTAAATCATTCCCTATGGGGGGGGGATACATTTCCTGTAGCCTCGAGGCCATTTGTTCTGTGAAGTTTAGATTCAGTTAAAGGACCTCAACTGAGGACCTAGAAGACCATATGCAGCCTCAAGGCCTCAACGTTTTTCACATATGCATTCAGAATATTGTCAAAAGTCTAATCACCTACCATATTCCAGGTACTGTGCTAAAAAAGAAACAAAGATAAAAGGTAGTTCCCTGTCCCCAAGAAGCTCACAACCTAATGGGTCAAAGTGGCCCACATACTTGGAAAATTTAGTTATTTAGGAAGCAACAAATCAATCAGTAAATTTTGCTGTATTCTATGATACCAAGCATATATATATATATATATACACATACATATATATATATAGTGTGTGTGTATATATTTATATATACATACTATACTATATATTTAGGTATATAAAGCATGCGCATTTTTTAAAGGGAAAGGGAGGGGAACATTGTATTACATTAGTGTCAAATGTGCCACATGATGGAGGATGTCCTCAAACCAGGTGGAATCCCCCTAGTCAGGGGGAGTAGGGTTTATCTGACCCTTGAAGATTAGACAAGGCTTTGTAAAGTGGGAAAGGGAACAGATTCCACCTAAGGAGCGTTCAAAATGAGAAAGTCGCACTGCTTTGTAGAGAAGAGTTATCCACAAGTGTGGAACATTTCAGATATTTTGAGGGTTTTTTCACTTTCTTGATTGATTTGCTGCTTATCCGCCCCTCCCCCCCCATAGGGGGATTGAAACATCTTTATATGGGATGGTTGTCTCGCAGGGGAAGGAGGGGTCCAGGTGAAAATTTAAGCAATGTTAATTCAAAAAAAATCAGAAAAAATGTATTTTTAAGAGCAGGTGGGGAAATCAGTCATTCACTAAGCATTCATTGTATATGTTTTATGTTTAGGGACACTGCTAGATGATGGTGATAAAAAATCCAAAGAATAAAAAAATGCCTACCATCAAGGAACTAGCATGCTAACACTGGAAACAACAAGCACATATTTAAGTATATACAGAATCAATATAAAAAGAACAAATAGAGATAGGTACTGGATTTTATTTTTATTAGTATGGACACCTCCTGGGTAGAGAAACCCCCTTTGGCTAAGTGACTTGCTGGAACAAAACCAGTACATTTCAGAGGTACACCTTGAATCAAGATCTTTTATATTTGAGGCCTTCTTTTTGTCCACTATGCCTTACTGCTTCTTACATAAACAGAAAGAAAAAAAAAAAGAAATGTAATTACAAAAGGACTTAGGGAGTGGCACTGACATTTGGGGGAATCTGAAAAGAGGCAGTGCTTGAATTAAGGAAGAGAGATTCTATGAGGCAAAAATGAGGAGTGTGTGCATTCCAGACTCAGACTCAGAGAGAGGAGATGGAATATGATGAAGAGGGAAAGCCTTAGAATTACTACAAAATAAACCACGAAAAAGAATTAGCTTTCATGGAACATATGAGGGTAAAACGACAGATCAAATTTATTCCCTTAAAGAAACTAAGTAAAGAGTAGGTATATGTGTGTGTGGGGGAGGGTGTATTTAGTTCAATCCCCACTAAAATACTGTTTGAATATCTTTTTGCGGTGTGGAGGTGACCCTAAGCTCTTGAAGCCTATGTCAATAAGACACACCTAGTGGCTGGTCCATGAGACATGGAATACCTTTGAGCACAGTTATGTACTGTATGTTTGTTGAGATTAGAGATAGTTTCATTCTTTGTATTTTTATTTTCATCACCTAGCACCATGTCTTGCACATAGTAAGCTTGATGTTTGATAGATTTTCTGAGAATCCTGAGAGTCCAGGTTCACAGAATTTCATCCCCAGAAGAGCTATAAGATAACAAATGTTCTTGGTGAAGCAACTTTGGCAAACTCTATTATGTCACAAAGAGGGTTGTGATTTGTGTTAATGGGAATGCCCATATTGACAGAACCGCAGCTCATTGAAATAAATATAACTCATAGCAAGAGGTCAGTTGATTTAAGGTCAGATATTTGAAAGGTCCTTGTTTCAACTTACTACTCAAATGTATGATTGTCAATACTTATAAAAATAATGATAATTGGAGAAGCTACTTATTGATAACTGCAGTTTCATATTTTTCTATGATTTTTTTAATATACAGCATGTGATGGCATTGGCACAGGAACTCTGATGTCTGCTCAGACTGTGGATTCCAGCAACATTGACAAGTTCATAAACTGTACTAAGATCAATGGGAATTTGATCTTTCTCGTCACTGGTATTCATGGGTCAGTGCTAAAACTTCATTCTATTTTTGTTGTTGTTGTTGTTCTGGAAAGAAAGGGCAAAGATGTTTTTTTTAAAGGGGATATCATGTGGAAGAGAAATTACACTACTTCTTTTTGGCTCTAGAGGGAAAAAAACAGAAGCAATACCCAGAAGTTGCGAATTGGCAAATGTAGACTTGATGTCAGGAAAAATTTCCTAAAAATTAGGGAGCTGCTCCAAGCTGGAAATGAATTATCTCTGAAGGCTTGAGGTTTTTCTACACTGAGGATCTTCAATCAGAGGTTAAGGCCACTTACAGGATATATTATAATAGTGATATCTTTTCAGTTCTGGATTCACTAGATGTCTATTGAAGCCCCTTCCAGTTTTAAAAATTGGTGATTCTGTCTGGTGTGAGGGAACATATCCGTAATCCCTGACAGCGGGGGAAGTAGAAGTTGGTAAATCCCTTGAGTTTAAGAATTCTTAGCTGCAAGGGGTTAAATGTGTTAATCATCTACCCTAAGTCCAGCACTAATATTGTGAGTCCATGGAAATGGATTGGGGGGGGTGGGGTGAGGGCAGGGAGCAGGAAAGGCAGACCTGCGCCAGTTGAAAATGGAGCAGGTCAAAACTTCGGTAATGACGAGTGAGATCTGGCCTGTGAGTGAACACTAAGCTTATGACTTGGAGAGACAGAGAGACATAGTAAAAAAAACAAAACAAAACAAAAACAAAAAACCCTTTAATTCTATGTTTAAAAAAATAAGGATTTTAAATAGGTATAGTTTTTTTTCTGATTTTTTTCCCTTAATTTTGCACTTCCTTACTGACAGCTACACCCATTCCTAACCATGCCCTACCAAAACACCCAATTTTAATTAACAGCAAAGGAAACCCAAAGGTTTGAAAAGATATCCATAATTTGAAGTTTGGTGATCACGATTAAAAAAAAGTGATGAGGGGGAAAGGAGATTGTGAATCTTATCTAAACTTTGAGCACAATGCTGATGGTTTCCAAAAAAAACCCCACATATATGTATATATGAAAAGATTGTTCAAATTACAAGTTGAATAATACATAATTATGTAAATCAACAAATCTCTAAATTTCTAAAATCTGCAAGTGACCTTAAGCTGCAATGCCAGTATATTATTTTCAGGAAAGAGTGATTCAAATGTTTCTACTTAAAAATCATTCTATACTTCATAGTCTCTCTCTCTCTCTCACTCCCTCTCTCCTTCCCTCCCTCTCCCTTCCACCCCTTTTCTCCCTTCCCCCACCTTCTGCCTCTCCCTTCATCTTCCACTTGGGAAGCAATAACTATTGTACTTGATCTGGTAATGAATTTCACTGATCGATGAAACTGTGTCTGTGGCTCCTTCATTATAGAACCACCTGCTGGTTTTAGCTGGGAAAACAACTGATTTCATGCTTCTAGAGTTGCATTAAACGTGTCCATTTTCACTTTATGTTGTATCTATTTGTTTATATTACTGCCTAATCCCAAAATACTAGTGCCATGGGCTACAGTTAAAGAAACAACTCACATCTAACAACTTAAAGTTTTACTGTGCACATGTAACACATTGTTATCATAGGAAATCAATGTAACATTAAAAATAAATACGTGTCCAAATAGAATCAATAGAAACATTAAAAACAAGCAATTATGTTTCCACATGCAACACTTGTGTATATGTGTATATTGGTATATAAAATACTTAATTGCATAAAATATTTTATAAGGTCTACATATTGCATGCTGGAATAAGTGTTAAAAGTAGTTCTGATCTCATTATTGATGACTTTTTTTCATACAACTTGAACTATAACATCTTGAATGACACGAACTCCCTATTTGTAATTACGCTCATAATATGATTAGGAATTGAACAAAAACTTTCCCCTGCATATTGGATTAAAATAGCTTAAAAGACATATCCATCTACATCATAATATGTGTTGACACTTGAAAATAATAAATGAAATTAGCCCTACTCCATCTGCATAAGGAAACACTGGAAAACAGCAGTTTAATTTGTTATATTATTTTTTTTTTTTGCATGATGTTCTGGTGATTAACCAACAGAGTTAGCTTACAAGGAATTGTATTTTATTCTTCATTTTGGTTCTCATAGTATGAAAGTCAGCCTACTAAAGGAGAAAACTTTTGAAGTAAGATACCTGAACAAGTGATATTCAGGAGGTCTGTTTTATTTTGGGAGAGGTGGGGATTCCATTGATTAGATTCCCTAAAGCATGGATTCTTATTCTAGGATCCAGGAACTCCCAAGATATCCATGGGGGTCTATGAAGTAGGATGGGAAAAATTACATCACTAACATCACTAACATCTAAATTAAATTTAGCATTTCCTTCTATTACACACACACACACATACATACATACATACATACACATGTGTATGTGTATGTGTGTGTATGCTGAGAAGGTTTCTATAAACTCCAACATATTGCCAAACGGGTCTACTGTACAAAAAAAGGTTAAGAATACCCACCTTAGATTTTCAGTGACCATACATTGATCATACATTATCGTACATTATCATTCAAGAAACTATATTTATCTTTGTTACATACATACATAATCATATGTATAAGTATTTTAGTAGTTAATTAATACTCAATAGTAAAGATAAATTGATGTGTGCTCCCGTCGACTTAAATATTTTGTCCAGTGATGCAATTCTCAACCCATCCATATTCATCTATCCTGTGTGACTTTCGTCTACATCCTCCCAAATATTTTCCACAAAGGATTTATCCTATATGTGGGAAGCAACTTCATTAAAAGTAGAAACACCCATTCAAGGGATGCTATACTGTGCAGCAGGAGTGCCATATATTCACATAAATATAATTTGCTATATGAGAAGGGCACTTTTTGTATATGCTAATAGAACTAATCCTTCTTATCAATTTAGATAGAGCAAGAGGACTTGAAAAATGGCCTTAAAATATGCTTCTCAAAATCATTCCAGGGCATGAAGTAGAAATAAACCATAAAATATCTTCTGGTCTTATTAAAAAAAAAAACCAGCATAAGTGCTTTGTGGATTTGTGTTGAAATTGTAATTGTCCTCTTAGGACACTGGATTAAAAAGACAATATCCAGTTTTCAGCACCACACATTGAGTAGCAAACATTATTTTCTAGAATTTCAAATACCAAATTAAAGCCAAGTAACTCTTATGATGACAATATTTCTTAAATAGAGATTTCACAAGTCTTAGTTGTCACTCCAAGTACTGTCAGTATTTAATTATAGCTATTATGCTACAGAATTGAAGTGAAAATTAATAGAAATATGTACCTAAAAAATCTACATCTAATATTTTTCTGGTATAAAAAAAAATTAACTCTACTTTCTCAAAACCCACCCTCCCATTTTCTTGCCACAGTGATAAGCCTGTCCTGTATTTTCTGAAGCCCTTTCCTGTCATCTTGGGAGAAAAAATGATATAGACATGAGTGCATCTCAGTGGAGCAGATTTCTTTGCTTTTTAAAAAAGAATCTGTTTTAATTATTTTTAAAAGGTAAAAATTAAAGGAAAGTACAAATTGAAAAATCCTGGCACCTCAATCAACTACTTTACTCTAATTACCTTCAATAAGCTACTAACCAGTTTTTAATAAGATCATGTAGCTTGGTTAAAATAGCTGAGGGGCTTCTATGAACTATAACATGAAGAACAAAGTTGTATTAAAATGGAATAGGGTGATACATAACTGAAGCAAGTTTTCTCAAAAGGACCTTAAATTGCTCTACAAATTATCAGGCACTTAAATCTTAATTTCTGTTAGGCAAACTGAGGCCCACAGAGGTTAATTGGCTTGTGCAACCTACAGGAAAACAAGGGCTAAGACAAGAATTTCTTAGACCTCATCTAATATGGGGACCACTAGGCAATGCTCAAGCTGTTTTAACTAATAAAAGTGACATTTCTTTCCTCAGCCAAACTTGATACTGTTTCTGTGCATTGGAGTAAACTGGGAAAATGCTATCAAAATATACATAATTTTGGGACATTATCAGTAGCTGACAGATGAAAATAGGGAGCCTGACATTCCAATACTATGGTAATAGAGAATGAATAGGAAATAATATTTCACTTTTGTAAGCATTAGAATTGAACATAAAAATCAACACCTATGGTATATCTTACCTTTATTTTGGGTCCCAAGGGCATGCTGTAAAGTCACGTACAGAATGACAAGCTGACGGTGTGTCTTTAGAATTCCTCTCAAATCAATTTTGAACATACTTTATTGGGGAAAATATCATTTGGGTTTCATGAGACAGTTAGATGTTACTTTTTAAAAGTTTGTGAATGGAAAGTTATTACTTTCTTTTTTATGAGAACCCTAAATTGCCAAATGAAGGATGTTCAATCCCTTGAGACTCCCGAGTTTTATGCTAACATTCCAGAATTCATTTAAGTTCTGGCAATCTGGATGTACTCATTATAAAGGTTAGAATTAACCCCATTTATCAACGTCTGTGCTAAATGTTGTGCATTTTATAAGCAAGGCAGTGGACTCCATTGTTCTACAAAGTACACAAGTACTACACTTCATAAATGTGCACATGTTGAAAAACTTAGTTTAGTATTTGAGAGAATAAATGTCTTCTGCACACAAATGGTTGCCATCAAATTCTTATAGCAACATAAAGGGTTGTTTTTATCTTTTTGCTATTCTTATTCTTATTTCAACTTGAATTTGACATTTTGTTAGTACCTATTTGCTGTAATACAAAGAGAGTCAAGAAAACAATTTATGAGTCCTTTTTGGAAATCTGGAGAAATATAAATAGTGCATGATCAAAAAGCACTAGTCCATTATTTGTGACTGAGTTATAGGAAGCATCTTCCAAGTGTCTGCTAATCTTAGCCATAATTTTTTTTAAGCTCCTTTACCAGAATTTGTTAACCTAGTGGTAGAGGGAAGCATTCCTCAGGTATTTTGCAGGGTACAGTATGAAGTGCTATGATTAGATGGAAAATATCAAAAGGACAGGGTCATTACTTATATGAAATATTCTTTTTGAGGAATTAGGCTACAAAAGTAAACCCACTTTCATTCCCATTGAAACGAGTCTCAAAACATCAGGGCAGTTAGCATAGCTTACCTGTAGTACCATGAACAGGTGTTTTTTGAGAAAATTTATTTGATGCTACAGTATGTTTATGTGTATACAGTATGTAATGACTTTATCAAGTTATGCAAGATTTCAAGACCATTGTGTTTGCCACACATCTAGTTTCCTAAGTTGGAAATTCCTTAAGATGTTTGCAGGTTAATTTAAGATTATGAGATGAGAAAATATACTCTATTTATCTTTAGAGTAGTTATAATAATAATAGATCTATACCATTCATAACTGAAATGCCTTTTTCTCTCTAGGAACAGATGAAATATTAAGTAAACTAGTTTTCTTTTTATTTGGGGGTATAAATATGGTTAAATTGCATTTTGTTCTCAAATGCCTTGTACCTTAACAAGCATTATAAATACAGATAAACAAGAATGATGTCTATTTAAGGTTACTTAGTGGTACCCTGTAACATATTTTAGTCAATATATGAGTACTTAGGTGGATAGGAAGGAAAGTGCCTCTGTAAAGCATAATTCATGGCACAGTAAACAGTCTCCTTTTTCTAATCAAATAATGGTTCCCATAGATAAAAATGAAACCTTATCCCAAATAAATGTAGAAACCCAGCTGCATTTATTTCTACCAATTAATTGTTAACTAATAATGGGTTTAATTAGCCATCTGCACTACATTTGAGGTCACAAATAGCTAATTGCTCTCACCATTATCAAAGCACTGACATAATTTCACATAACATTTTCCTTCTAGATATGATAGGAGGTTTTACAGAATATATACAAATTTTCTACCATATTTGATTTCTAGAGAAAATGCAGACAAGTAGACAGATAATTGAGTTTGTATTAGAAACTGATCAAGGATTTTATTGTTGGGAAGGGTTTTAGGGATCATCTCTCAACAACTCTTATTTGAAAGATGAGGAATTTGAGACCCAGGGAGGTCAAATGAATTTTCTAATATCACATGCCTAGTAAGCATGGCAAAACTCAGACTTGAATCCAGGTCTCCTTTCAGATCAGGATCTTTTTTCTTCTATGTCACATTGGCACTCAGAGTGTTTAATAAATAGCCCAGAGATTTTTGTAACCCAAAAAACCCTTTGACCCTGAAGTTTTACAATGTGCCATTAAAATTAACAATTTTTTTCCTTAGGATGACAATAGTGACTACAAAGAGTGTCCAAGACACCTTATATGTTATGCTCATGTCAAATAGGAATTTTCAAGTTATATGGAAAGACTTGGTTTTTGCAAGTTTACCTCTTGATGTGATAGAATTGTACTATTTTATTCTTGAGTCATTCACTGAGAATATCCTCATCTTTTAGGGATCCTTACAATGCAATTGAAGCCATGGATCCTGAGAAACTGAACATTTTCCGGACAGTCAGAGAAATAACAGGTAACTGTGGATAAACAAAGTTATCATGCAAAATAGTTTTTTTTTTATTCTGTGGTGTTTTTCTTTAAAATATATATGTTTTAATCAGCATCTTCTGAAAATAAATATGAGATCCTCAAAACCATGACTTTTTTTCATAAACAGTTGAAGATGCCTAATATTGTCCATACATTCTGAAAGTTTCTGCAGATGGGGAAAATGATGTTGAAAATTAAAAATTACTGGGTATTTCAAGTACCAAATGATCCTCATACCCAAATAACATTTTGTAATATATTATTATTTAATATAACAATTACAATTATATTGTGTCTTTGATGGTATGGCAAGAGTATAACATCTCATCATCTTCACCGCCATCTTTGTCATAGCTTCTCACATTTACATAGTAATCAATACTTTTCAAGAGACTTGCACGTATCTCATTTGAGCTTCACAATAATCAGGTAGATGAAACAATATTATGCTCCCATTTTACAAGTGAGGAAAGTGAGCCTCAAACAGCTTAAATGGCATGTCCAAACTCACAACTTCTTACTAGAAAGCTAGAACTTGAACATAACCCTACTTGCTCAAATGAAATCTCTTTACCATATGACCCCTGAACCTATAATAATCACAAGAACCTGCAAGACTTCAAATTTTATGTTGGAAAACATCAGATTAGGAGCAGTTATTATTATTATCATTATTATTAATATTATTATTGTTATTTTGGAGGCAATTGGGGTTAAGTGACTTGCCCAAGGTCACACAGCCAGTAAATGTCTGAGGCCAGATGTGAACTCAGGTCCTCTTGACTCTAGGGCCAGTGTTCTGTCCACTGTACCACCTGGCTGAGGGGCAGTTATTATTAAAATTATTAATAATGATGATGCTAATAACATTTATGTTGTACACTAAAGCTTATAGTAAGCTTTATAAATATTATTCCATTGGACCCTTACCACAGCCCTGAGAAATCAAAAAGCGAGGAGATTGAGACACAGAAAAGTTAAATGACTTCAAAGAGCTAGTTAGCGTTCAAGGAGGAATTCATTCCTAGCTGTTACTTACACCAAGACTAACTTATTATCTACTACATTATGCTGACCTTTGAAGTCTAAGTCTGATCTTTCTGAATACATTTGCATCAGAAACATGGCATTTTGTACTTTTTGTTACCCCTCATGCATTTCAGCACAGAAAGTATGAATGCAATTCTGAACCCCTTGAGTTGCTGAAAAATCCCATTACCGGAGTGATGTAACTGCCAATCAAAAATGTTCTTGACCTATTTGTAGGTTTTCTCACGTGCCCATTATGTTACTTCAACATAAGGTGATCCTGTCATGTTTCAAGATCTGAAGGATTCACCATGAATGAGACAATGAGATACTGACATTTCTTTTTGCCCTTATCTTCCTCAGGTTTCTTGAACATACAGTCTTGGCCCCCAAACATGACAGATTTCAGTGTCTTTTCTAACCTGGTCACCATTGGTGGAAGAGTACTGTATAGGTATGTGTTCAATATCTGTGTTTTAGTCTGTAGAACTCTGAGTTCACTAAAGGTAGATACATTTTTTAAAGGCTCATGTAAAATATCAAAAATCTCTTGGTCTCATTGATTTCACTGCTCTAGAAATATCAACTTTTCCATTTTCCATCCTGGAGATAAAACTCGTAATGAAAAACATGCCACAAATGATGGACTACAGAATGTAGGGAATATGCCTCTTGAATTTTCAGCTCCCTAAATCATTTAAAATAATACAATGCTTTTGCTGGGTTTAAAATACAGGATATAAGCCACAAATTTCAGCCTACCTTTTCATCATATTTCATCATAATCAAAAGATACATTTGGGTGACAGTTACCCATCGGCGCTGACATTTGGATCAGAAATTGCAGTTTTAGTATTTGAGTAGTTAGTTACTTTACCAACTGATGAGTCTATATGAACATAGTGCATGACAATGAGATCAAAGCAGAGTTCAATAAATCCAGAGGATACATTTTAACTAGCACACTGGAATAGTAATTGAAATAGTCAGTCAAAGGTCTCTAATGGAATGGAACCTAGTGGATATGAGCATGTTTCAACATACTACAGATGATGAATTTTTTCAGGAGATTCAGTGTTAAGGAAGTTATTAGAGAAATGGGTGATGGGAAAAATAAAAGAGATAGGCTGCCCATGAAGTAAGAATGGGAAGGGGAAGGCTAGCTGGGGGACAAACTACATACTTATTTGGTATTCGTGTAAGGAAAAGAGAATCTGAAAAAGACAGCCATCATTATGGGTAGACGTCATGGAGGATGATCTGAGACCTCTGTTGTTGGAAGGAATCACCACATGGATCAGATAACCAAGTGGTGATATATTAGGGGTTACTCCTTACCTCAGGCTTCACATGTGTGGAAGTGCACAGTGCTAGACATAGACATGAATTTGTGAACTTGAGGCAGGGAATTTTGTGCTAGCATGTGGGGTTTGCTAAGACACAAAATTATGAAAAATGGCAACTGAAATTTCTCTACCAAAACTTCACAGAAAAAAAAAACCTCTCAAAGTCCACTGACACAAGTGCTACATTTGTACAAAAGTTGATAGGAAAGACTAAAAAGGAAGCCAGTGTAATGAAAAATAATAGCCAATGGAAACAATCCATCTGGATGATATATACCACTAATACTAACTCTCAGTTGAACCAAATACTATCAATCAGGCAAAGAGTTCTGCTGATGTAATAACACTCAGCACCTCTAGAAGATAGTGAAGAGGAACAAAGATTTCAAATTGAATACTATATTGTTATTCATTCCTGAGCTACTTGTTCTTGTAAATTGGAAGGACAATTATCTCCATCTTGAATTATCTTTTGTAAAAAAAAAAAAAAGTCTAGATGTTAAGAAAATGTTTTTGTTACTAGATTATTAAATAATTTCCATTGGTTGGTGATAGTGTAAGAGAGGTTTATTTTTCAAGCGACAAAAAGAAAGGTAAATCCCTTCACCCCAAAAAAAGGGAAAATGTAGAATGATAAAAATGTCCTTGAAATAAGACTTGCTTTCATTGTAGTAATATATACTGAATTTTGAGGAAAACTTTTAGGCCATCAGTTTTTAGTGTTTCAATTTCATTTCATGGCATTCCTTGATATTTAAATTTTACATCCCATTCCTTTTTGTCCATCTTCTTTCCATTATCATCAGAGCATTTTAATCACTGAGGTATAGTTTACAACTCAATTAATTCTACATACATTATATTTGTTACTTATATCTTAGATAGTACCTCAGCGTGTTATTATAACAATAATATAATGGATCAAGTTAGTATCTTCCTTTGGGAAAATGAACAGCCATTCAATATATATTTTATTTATGTATGTATATATATTTGTGTGGGGATGGAACATTGTGGGAGGTGTGTATGTGCATGTGTGCATGTATGTGTGTATCTAATAAGAACTATATAGTAGTTTCTATTTTATCTATACAGTATAGTCCTAATAACTGTGGAAGATGAAAACAAATAGAAGATACCTTCAAGATATCCTGCCCTCAAGAAATTTCCATCAAGGGGCAGATGATTTTGAAATCCCACAGATTTGTTTAGTGTTGTTTAGATAAATCAATCAATAGCTATTTATTAAGTACCTACTATGTGCCACATACTTTGCTAGTCAATGAAGATAAATAATCTCTTCTTCAATTAACTTATATTCTAATGAAGGGGAAAAGCTATGTATAAAACTATCTTCAGAAATATAAAGATAATATAAATATATACATGAATATATACGTCTATACAGTAGTTAAATATAAAATAATATGGAGGGGGCACTAGAAATTGAAAGATCAGGAAAAGATTCATACAGAAGATGATGTCTGAACTGCATTTTAAAGGAAGAAAGGGAGTCCATTTCAAGCATGAGGGATGGCCAGTATAAAGCCATGAATATGTGATCTGGTATATTGTGAAGAACAAAAATGAGGTCAGAAACATAAATGTCACATACTTTCTGTAGAATACTGCAAAATACTCCTACCCTTCTTCCTCATACTTGCTTAGTCATCTTTCAGTCTTGGTGGATTTCCAGGGCCAACTCTTAAGGTGATGTACCCTAGTTAACTTCATGGTTGGGGCTTCTGAGCAGGTCTATTTTTATAATTAACTTCCTAACTTTTCTCATGAGTAAAAGATAACTTATCTAAATGCTTTTGGTTAGCATTTTGTAACTTCTTGCCAAAGTCACATTACAAGAAAACTGTCCATAGCTAATATCAGTAAGGGGTGATCTCAAGCATTTACTCCATTCTTACCTTTTCTGAGAAGGCAAATAAATCCAGCATATTCCCAGTTCATTCTGAAAGTGCCTTTAGACTGCCTACAGGAAATATGACCAATGACCCTCACGGTCATTGGTTCTGTGTGTTATCGGAATTGTCCTGTTTGGCTCAAGACAGGCTGAGAAATTTAATTTATTAAGTGCCTACTATGTGAAAAGCACTGTAGTACAAAGATGAAAAAAAATAATATTATCTAGAGTAACAGTGGTCATTAATCTTGGTAATTAATTTTATTTTTGGTAAATAAAACCTTTGGGTTACTTGAATAACATGCTTTCCAACAAATTACTATGTATTCTGAAAGTAGCTGTTACAAAAAAAAAATTCTGGAAACTTCATCTCTTGTTTATATTTCATTAACATTCCTTCTGCAGGTAAGATGTGACAATCTTTCTTTATTAATGAATTTAATGTTCTGGAAACATTCATTTATTTCTCTTTCTTTTCTCCTCCAGTGGCCTCTCATTGCTTATCCTTAAGCAACAAGGCATCACCTCTTTGCAATTCCAGTCCTTGAAGGAAATCAGTGCAGGAAACATCTATATAACTGACAATACCAACCTGTGTTACTATCATACAGTTAACTGGACCACCCTCTTCAGCACTCTCAACCAAAGAATAGTGATTCGTGACAACAGGAAGGCAGAGAACTGCAGTGAGTACATTGGCCAAGATAGAAAATGTTGGCTTACATTATGATTCTAGTCACAAGTGCTTGTGAGGGCAGGATAAAGGGCAGGATTCTGGCGGTCACACTTAGATGTAATTAGAAAACATTAAGAATATGCTGGCTAACTTTTATGGACTAACTTTAAGGTTTGAAAAATGCTTTACAAATATTTTCCAATTCTTTAAATCCTCACAACAACCCAAATAGGTAGGTACTATTATTATCCCCATTTTGCAAGTGAGGAAACTGAGGCAATGTCATATTAAGTAAATTTCTAGGGTCACACAGCTAGTGTTTGAGGTTGAATCTGAAGTCAGCTCTTCTTGTCTCTAAGTCTAACACTCTAGCCAATGTGCCATGACTGATGATTAACATATCTATCTGTCTATCTATCTATCTATGTATCTATCTATCTGCGTATCAACATTGTTCTAATATTTTGGCCTATTACAAGTTGAACTGAGAATGGCATCATCTGAATCCACCAAAGGCCAAAATTATGATGTGTGAATAGTTTAACCATTTCTGAAGAGCTTACTCATATACCTATTGTTGATGCTCAGAAATACTCTGTGACTAGAGATAGCAGAGATCTTCTACACCAAGTGAGTGATACCCTAAAATACATTTAACTGGGAGCAATGGATAGAATTTATAAAGAGGCAAATTTAGGCTTAATGTAAAAATAAAAACTCAATGAATTGAGTTATCTAAGTATGAAATTGGCTTCCTCAAGAGAGAATGTATTTTCCCTTTCTGTAGGTGTCAAGCAATAGTTTCATGATTGTTTGCTGGGGATTTTGTAGAATGGATTCTGGTTCAGATCTGAGTTGGACTAGATCGGAGGTGTCAAACATGTGACCTAGGTCATATGGCTGCCCTTAACAGTTCCAAGCCAGATTAAAATGCAATTAGAAAATATCAAACAAAACAATTTTCAATATAATAAAATATAGATGATGTTAATATGTGGTTTTCTAAGTCAATCTCTGGTCCATAGGGATTCTTATGTACAGTTTAGTGCCCCCTGTTTCTATTTGATTTTGTCACTACTGGATCACATGACTGCCAAGGTATCCTTCAAACACTAAGATCGAGTGATTCCTTGGAATTTCTTTACTCTATATGTTATGCCTATATCTACTCTTTATATTATTACTATTCTCTCTCTGTCTCTCTCTCTCTCTCCGTCTCTCTCTCTCTCTCTCTCTCTTTCTCCCTTTCTTTCTCTCTCTCATTGTTCACTCATGTCTGCCTCTGGACCATATGTACCATAACACATCAGGACCTTCTATCTTCCACTATCTCTCAAAGTCTGTCCAAATTTGTGTTCATTGTTTCCATGATATTATCTATTCACCTTATCCTCTGCTATCCCCTTTCCCTTTTGCCTTCAATCTTTCCCAACATCAGGTTATTTTCCAGTGAGTCCTATCTTCTCATCATATGGCCAAAATATTTAATCTTCAAATTCAGTATTTCACCTTCCAGTGAATAGCCTGAATTAATTTTCTTTTGATTTGATCTCCTTACTGACCAAGAAATTCCCAAAAGTTTTCTCTAGCACCACAATTTAAAGAGCTGATTCTGCGGTGCTCAGAATTTTTTTGTCCAACTCTCATAGCCATCCATTACTACCGGGGGAAAAAAAATAACACAAAACAAAAAACAAAACATACCTTTGACTATAAGGACCTTAGCATTACCAAAACTATTTTGATCTGTTAAAATGTATAGCTTCCCATTAAGGTAAACTTGATTTTTATGTTTTCACTGAGGGGCTTCTCCTCTGGGCTTTTCTGAGATTCCTTATTTGAATCTTTCTCTCTTGCTATTTCTGTTATATCTTTACCACTTTCATCAGACCTGATCATTTCCATTCCTGTATGCAAATTGGATAATTGGGTCACTATAGAAATGAACTGTACATACTTCATTCCTGGTGAACTCACTTTGATGAGTTATGGTCATAGTGATTTTAAAAACAGTTAAATGAAATAAAACTTTGTACATTGCTTCTGAGATTTAGTTTGTTTACTTTAAAATATACTTCGCACATGCTGAGCATATTATATATTTATGTGTATATATACATATATGTGTATGTATGTATATATATTTGAATTGAATTTTTAAAAATGAAAACAGCATTACAATGTTAATGATGTTTTAGATTCAAGGTGACTTAAAGCAGTCAGAACAAGAAAAAAAAAATCTCCCTGAGTCAGTGAGGGCTGACAATTGAGTGAACCATCTTGCTCTTTTAAGTCATGGATTTCAAAGCAGATAGTGCAGTTTGAAAGACTAACTCAGACTTGAGGACACAAAAATCGAAGCGATATAGTACCTGCCTCATTCATTTAAACTACTATAGTGGGAACTGAATTTACAAGGCTACCAGAGATGTGTAAGACAGCAAAGCATCTACAGTGTTACCATTGTGCTTTAAAAGGTTTAAGAAAAAAATTATAGAAGGTTCAAGAAAGTTAATCCTACACTGACTTTCAGCTAAATTTGGTACCATACCCTTTGACCCAAAGATTCCACTGCTAAGTATATATTCCAAGAATGTCCTATATAAAGAAAGGCCTCCCCTCCCCCTGCCAATGTTTGTTTGCTGGGGATTTTATAGAAAGGATTCTGGTTCAGATCTGGGTTGGACTAGATTGGAGATGTCAAACATGTGACCTCGGTCACATGGCTACCCTCAACACTTCCAAGCCAGATTAAAATGCAATTGGAAAATATCAAACAAAAAATATCAAGCAAAATATTGCTAGAATATTCATGGCAGCACCTTTTATGGTGGCAAGGAAAAGTAAACAAAGGAGATGACCATCAAAAGGGAAATAAATATCTAAACAAATTGTGGTCATGAATGTAATGGGATATTACTAAGCTATAAGAAATGATGAACTTGATGAATACAGAGAGACGCATGGAAAGATTTCAGAGAAAGACATTTACAGAAATACAGACCAGAAAATACAGAGAAAATATGGATTGAATGAACTGATTCAAAATGAAGTAACAAGAAACAAGAAAACCACAAGGCAATGACTGAAACTATTTAAATGGAAAGACAAAAACTATGAAAAAATTGAAAAAAACAAACTTTGCAAAATGACAAAAAGCCTTGCTGGCTCCAAAGAAGAGACATAGAAGATACTCTCCTACTCCTTTACAGAGGTTGGAGACCACAGATGGGTAACATTGCATATAATGACCAATTTTTTTTTTTTAATGTTGATAGGTTTCACTATTTTTTTCCTTCTTCATCTTAAATTGTATTTATTATAAGGCACAGCAATTTGGGAAGGAGGAAGAGGAGACATACATTTGAAAATCTATATGACATAAAGAGACCAATTTGTTAAATCAATTAAGTAAAATAAAGGCCTATTAAAAAGAAACATGGGTTTGATTGTCCCCCATTCTTTCTAGTTTATGAATTCTTTTACATATGTTCTATTTAAGAAGCAGTATGGCTTCGTAGATTTTTTTCTGGACTTAGAATCAGAAATAGTTATGTTCACGTTCTTTCTCTGACACTTACCATCCCAAGTCTCTTAACCTCTCTAAGCCTATTTTCACATCTTTAAAAGAAGAGATAATAATACCTATATAATATCTATGTAAAAAAAGTTGTTAATCTCAAATGAGGTAATGTATTTAAAGTATTTTGCAAACTTTAAACTCGATTAAGGCATACAGTAAATAAATTATATGAACTACATATTTATGTATAAGCATATACATAGATATGAACTACCTAAATATCTATTATTATTATTATTATTATTATTATTATTATTATTAATAGTATACCTAATGAATAAGAATCTGAACTCATTCTCCATCCCCTTTTCTAATGTCTTTATTGCTATTTTATTATTATTATTGTATTGTTTTGTCACTAGTATCATGAATGTAGTCCTTTGATTTCCCTCTCTCCTTTTCTTTCTCATTCAGCTATTAAATCCTGCCCATTATTCCCCTCTAATTCTCTCCAATTGCCATTCTTTCTTCTTCACTGTCACAGTCTTCTCCTACATTAAGCACTGAAGCAGACCCAAACCAGTCTCTCTTTTTCTAGTCTCTACATTAATAGATTTGGGGAATCAAGGACTTTTAGAACTGGGAAAAGTCTCAACCAGAGTCCATCAGTCATTGATTTTTAAAGCTGAAAGGAACATGATTAGTATTCTATTTCAACCTTCTCAGCTTACAGGTCGGGGGGGGGGGGGGGTAATGACAAGAGAGAACTAAGTTACCTGTAGTTAGTAGTAGAGCAAGGGACTGGAATCCAAGGCTCTAGATTCTTTGCCCAGAATCCATGTCACCATATTTCTTTCCTTCTGGAAACTTTCTCCCTAGCAATGAACAAAACTTTCAGGGTAACCTTTCTCAAGCACTTGCAGCAATTTCATATCCTACATCTATACTCTTAAGCCTAGTATTCAAACACTCAGCAAATGTTCTTCTTCCTGATAGTTTTCTTCAACCCTTACCTCCTTCTAAAGTACCACTTAACTCAGCCAGGGTTGACACCTTATCATGATGCCTATTTACTGAGTTATTATTTAATATATTGCTATACTTTAAATATAATGCCTATACATCCCGTTCACTTTCAAATGTTTTTTCTTTTCTTTTTGGGAGTGCTAAGGATATTTTAGGGTGACTATGTGGCTACCAGGTCTGGAGTCAAGAAGAGCTGAATTTAAATCCAGCATCAAACATTTATTAGCTGTGTGATTCTGGGCAAGTCACTTAATTCTATTTGGCTCAGTTTCCTTATCTGTAAAATGAGCTGGAGAACAAAATGACGAACCACTCCAGTATCTTTGCCAAGAAAACCCAAATGGGGTCATGACTGAAGAAACTGAACAACAAAAAGTATATTTTATTTTCCTTTAATTCCTTAAAAATAGATAATCCTTATGTGCTAATTCTAAATTAACCAGAATATGTTTTTTCCTTAA